CAGCAAGCTTCCACCCCACCTTTCTTTCATTATTAATAATATACACGGGTTCTTAGGAGGTATCACATCCAAACGCTGACCCAGACACTGGTTTGCTTGGTTTCAGCAAAGTGGCTGTGTTGTGTCCATTGGAATTATAGCTTGGGTCTTGTAGAGCTGCTACGGATACCACTGAGTAAGCCACAAGGCTTTCCACGTCCGGGTTTAGGAATAAAGGGCTTCTACATCAGAAATACTTGATTTGTGGCAGATTTGATCCTCAGCACCATTCAGAAACTGGGCACTAATTCTGAAGGGTAAACAATCCCTTTGCATTCTGGTTTTTCACATCAGTCAGAGCACTCTTGGACACTGTGTGGATGACAAGCTGTACATTTTGCAGGTCCTGCCTACATTGGCAATGTTTTCTTTACTCATCTCCCAAAGCTGCCATCCTCCCACACTGGATTCCTTTGGGGTGGTGGGGGATAATGTATAGATTCAGTATAAAGTATCTCTCTCCCAGTCTTGTGTATCTATCCTAACAAACTATGATTCTGAGAAAAATTACTCAGGAAAATATCACAAACCCACTACCACCCATCATTATTTATTCATGTCTGTTTTTAACATACCATTTTACATACCATTACATCATCCAATTCTTACTCAGGAAAATATCACAAACCCACTACTACCCATCATTATTTATTCAGTTAGTTCATTGTCTGTCTTTAACATACAATTTTTACATACCATTACATCATCCAATTCTGCCGCAGAATTACAATTGCTTCAAATATTAATTTAATTTACTTATGCCCTGCCTTTCTCCCAATGGGGACCCAAAGCAGCTTACACTGTTCTCCTTGCCTTCATATTATCCTCACAAGAACCCTATGAAATGTGACTGGCCCAAGGTCACCTAGCAAGCTTTCATGGCAGAGTGAGGATTTGAACCTGAGTCTTCCAGATCCTAGTCTAAGCACTAAACAACACTAGCTGTCAGATTCTAATGCAAGAGCGTAGCACGTGCCCTACATGCATATGGTCACCCATCAAAGGAACTTCTTGGGGAGAAAAACTGAAGCCCTGAGAAACACGTAATGCCGTGCTTGACTTACAGTGCCATTCTAAGCAGAATTAGAAGCGACTGAATTTATACCCCGCCCTTCACTACCCAAAGGAGTCTCAGAGCGGCTTACAATCTCCTTTCCTTTCCATTCCCCTCTCCTCCCTACCCCACCCCACAACAGACACCCTGTGGGCTAGGTGGGGCTGAGAGAGGTCTTTGAGAACTGCTCTTGAGAGAACAGCTCTGAAATAACTTGTGATTGACCCAAGGTCACACCAGCAGCTGCATGTGGAGGAGTGGGGAATCAAACCCGGTTCTCCCAGATTAGAGTCCGCGCTCCTAACCACTACATCAAACTGGCTCTCAGTTGCACACTGCTACGACCATTGAAGTCAATGCACTTCAAGGGGTATGATGACTCTGTTTAGGAATTAGTAGAGCAGCTTTCTATGGACTAATAGCTTTTCTCCACATCTTCACAGAACATGTTTGTATAAAATAAAGTTAATAAAAAGAATAATAATTTGTGAGTTTAAGCAAGGATGTGCTATACTGAAAGCTTCAAAAACCATCTCATGTTAAATATCAGTGATCGTATATAGAGCATCTAATTCAGAAAAAAACAGGTATAGTATTGAGTAAACTGTAAATGCTTGTGTACTCATCCTCCCGCAACACTAAATGCAGTGTTAAAAACCCAAATTACTAACTGCAAATTACCTCTACAAAGTCCCCAAGAACTCAAAGCAAGCAATTAACGCCTGAACAAGCCTACCTAATTGCAGCTGGTCTTAGCAAGAGGAACCCTACTTATGCATGTTATAATTGACAGAGTGCTGTTTAGAGCTGTTTAGAGCAGAGGTGTCAAACAGCTGGGTTTGACAATAAATGTCACTTTGTCGGGCCACGCGTGCCATAAAACTGTAATGCCAGGTACCAGAGATGGAAACTGTATAAAGGACAGCAGCTGGTAAGCTCCAGGTTGGCGTATTCTCAATGCAAGGCCCCTTGGGATGGGAGGGGGGTGCAGAGGAAAACCCACACAGGCAGACTGGAGAGGCAGCAGTGCAGCCCTGGGCAGATGCTCCCATGATACTTGACTGCTGCAGACGAGGCGGTCTTGCTGTGCTGAAGCCACAATGGAGTGGCTCCATCCACTCCCCTGCCTGCACCAGTTGTTGGCTGGCTGCATAAGAGCCCTGGATGGGCTGGTTCTGGCCCCTGGGCCTTATTGTTGAAACCCCTGGTTTAGAGCCTATTGAGAAAGTCACTGTGCAGAGCAGACTCAACTGTAAGGGCTACAAATGGATATGATGGTCTTGAGACCTTGTCCCGGCAGCCAGCATGACTTCTGAAGTTACCAGAGCTTTACAAGAGTCGGACTAGCAGTCCATCAAGCCTAACACTGGCCCTGGTCACACGGGCCGGATATCGCGGGGGGAGGGAGGCGTGGCTAATTGCTCTGGCACAGTTTGATCTGTGATTACGCGAGGAGATGCGCTGGCGGCACACCACGGGGCCTTCCCTTGGCGTCAGCGGGTAAATGAGGGACCGGAGGGGAATGCCGCGCGCTGGCGTGATCACACCATGGGAGTCTAGAGGCAGCCACGTTTACTAGTACCTTGGAGGTACTAGTTTTTAAATCCGCATTGTCGGCGGTAAGCCACAGGTGCACCCCACTTCCCAGATGTTGGGGTGTGATCGCGCCCGGATAATCCACCCACCATCCGTGCCTCTCCCGCGGCAACTTTGGCATGTGACCGGGGCCACTGTATTACAATTACCCAGGAGTCAAGTAGCTGACCGAAATGTATTTCAGCATAAGCTTTTGTGAGCCAGAATTCACGTCTTCAACCACTGTACCTAATTTTACGTGGGGGGAGGGGAGGAAAGTGACAAAGGGGGGGGAACAAGATCAGATTGAAGGAGACATTCATACAGAGTGGGTTGCGGCTGTGGTGATGGGCAGTAGTTTCATTAGCTTTAAAAGGGTCAGGCAGGATCACTGAAGGCCTTAAATGGCTGGTCACTGTGATGATTATATGGAGCTTCCATGTTCAGAGGCAGCAGCTTTAGGATACCACTGTTGGGGGGGGAGTAACATCAGAGGGAAGTTTTAGTCTCTGGGTCCTTCTGGTAAGCCTTACAGGGGCATTTTGATTGGCCACTGTGTGAAGCAGGCTGCTGGGGTAGATGGACCACTGGTTTCCTCCTGCACTGCTTCTCTTGCGTTGTCAACAGTGTGACCCTTTCCCATTAGGGATGCCAGCCTCCAGGTGGGACCTGGGGATCTCCTGGAATTACAGCACATCTCCAGACTACAGCAATCATTTCCCCTGGAGAGAATGGATGTTTTGAAGGGTGGACTCTATGGCATGGTACCCCACTGAGGTCCTTGTCCTCGCCTTACCATGAATCTCCAGTTTCCCAACCTGGATCTGGCAACTCCATCCCCCACCAGTGGTGGGGCTTGCAACCTATTTCCTATCACTATTTAGGAACTGAGCTCTTCTGGTCTGCTGCTTTCCAAGTTTACTCAGAAGCAAACCTCACCAGTTCCATACAGCTCAGTTACCTTGCAGCTCATCCATGAAAAGTTGCAAGCCACTTGGGTTGTATTTGCTGGAGAGGAAGGTGTGTGGCTTCAGGTAGCCTGGGGAGACCATGACTAGTTTCATTGTTTTAAAAAATTGTTTTCAGTTGTCCCCAACAACCCAGTGCTGATTCTCAATGTGGTTTTCAGTTTTCCCGTGATTCAGCACTCTGTTTCCAAGTCTTTATTTATTTGGTATATTTTTATATCCCCAGGTATTTATATACTGTATTTGTATACCACCTTTCCAACCAGAGAGCTGATGGAGGAGGAGAAGGCTCTCCACTCTTCTATTTAATTCTTAGAACGGCCCTGCAAGGTAGGTCAGGGCGACTGTCCCAGGGTGCTTCCTGGCAGCAGATCCTAAGCTGACATCCTACCCGCTACATGTCACTGGGCCATTCTCAAAAACTCAGGCAAATAATGAGGCAAATGGTGTGTGTGTGTGGGGGGAGAGGACATGATCCGTTATTCCTCCCTTCCCATCCATGTTAACACATTGTAGATTTCCTCGTAGACGCGGCTGCTTGCGGAAATGGATGCAGATGGCCAAAGCGCGTATAATGAGGCAAATGGTGTGTGTGTGTGTGTGTGGGGGGGGAGACAGGACATGATCCATTGTGCCTCCCTTCCCTTCAATGTGAACACATTGTAGATTTCCTCGTAGACGCGGCTGCTTGCGGAAATGGATGCAGATAGCAAAAGCGCGTTGAGAGGACCTGCGCTGAGGCTGCAAGGTAGCGCTTTCTCTTTGCCTGCGCGCCCCGGCTCTCCCTGTGGCACGATCTTAAGCCTGTGGACTCACAGTAGAGCTCTACTACATACATCCGTGGCACGCGCATTTCGGTAACTTCGCTAGGGATTTGGACCGTCCAGTCCTATTCTATGCATGCTTGCTCAGAAGTCACTCCGCTGAGTCGAATTAGCGTCTTGTAACGCGTCTCGCCTGCGTTTTCTTCCCCGGCACGGTTCCTCTCGCCTCCGGCTGTTGCAGCCTACCTTCTCCTCCTCCCTTGCAACTTACGAGGCCTCCAGTCCAGGGCCATCCCATCGCTGGTCGCCACTTCTGCCTTGCTCCCGTTCTGTGCGTCACGCTGACATCTCCCTCCGACGCTGCAGGGGTCTTGCTTTCTTAGCCGCCCACCCTGTTCATAGACGACACCACTGCTGCCCCCCGCCCCTTCTATGTGCCCTCGCTTGCTGGAGCCCTTTCGCCTTCCGCCCCTCGCTCCGTGCCTTTCCCCAAAGAGCAAGGAGGCCCGGGCAGATGCGTGCGTGTCTCTTTAAGAGTTTTCGCTCTCTTTCTCACGTGTGCGGTCAGCTGACAGTGACGCTCCAGGGGAAACTCTCGCTGTTCCTGAAACATCGGGCGCCGCTGCGGGTTGCACGGCTGTCTCCGCTTCGGTCTGCTTGTGCCGTCGCTGGGCTGGGGCTGCAGAGAGCCGCGCTGTCACCCTGGGGGCTGCTGGCTTCGGCGCGGAGAGGGGCGGGCAGCGCTGCAGTGGCAGCCTGGGAGAGCCGTCGCTTGCCCAGCCGGCAGGAGGGACCCTGACCCCCGCCTCTCCTCCCATCTCCCCGCGAAGCTTCCTGCTGTAGATCGGAGCTTCGGCAGGAGCCTCCTCCAGTCGCCGGGGAGTCCGGGACTTGCCTCGCCCAGGCAGCGAGCTCGGTCAGCTGCCAGCTCCCTTTGCTGTGCTCGGGGCTGCTCGTTAAGACCAGGTTTCCCTGGAGATCCATTAGTCCCTAATCTCAGTTGCGACCTCAGTTCATGGATTATCTGGTAGGTGTACAGCCTGTAGTGAAATCCAGCACTCCCGCTGTATATATTGCTGTCTTCTGCGCGGGCATATGTCTTTATATGTTTCTCCACTCGGTGTCTTGGTGAATGTCTAGTGCTCTGAGTAAGTGAAACTTGAGTGTGGCTAGGAATGGCTTTACAGCTGTGGGTAAAAATCGTGGCACTATCAGGCTCAATGATGACCCTGCAGCGCTAGTGCTGGCATGGCAGGTTAACTGGGAAGAGATTCTCCCCTTCTCACAATGGTATTTTTCAAGTTCCAGGCCTTTTTCTTCTTCTTCAAAACCAGACTTTCAGAACTATTAAAGGCCAATAAACCAGAGTGGTTTCACTAAAGGGCACTGTTGGCTTTGCTCCTTTGGTTATTAGAACTCTAAAGCTCTGACCTCAGTCATTGGCTTTTCCCTTGAACACAGAAACAGAGGGGACGCCTGAATGCACACAATTGGTGCTGTGGCCTTAAGTGGTTGTGCACCTGAATAGTTTGGTATTTAGCTGTATTTAATGAATGCTGCCCTCGTTTGTGCCGAAAGATGGTATCGCTTGTGTTTGCTTCAGGGCTGGAGGAGGCTTCGGACTCATGAAAATATTGGGCAACTGCAAATCTGAATTGCTCCTACACGTGGAATGAGAACTCTGTACTTCAGCATTCCAACCCCCCCATGTAAATGAAAACAAAGTCTACTTAACAAGTAGTAAGGAAAGCATGCTTCAGTGTCTTCCTCCCAGTTGGGAATGTTTCCTTTGTTCTTGTTGATGGCTCCTGGCCAGACTTGTTAGTGGACAAGACCATCACTAGTATCCGTTCCATTCTCACTTTTGATTTTTTGGAATGTGCATTGCCACTTAATACTGACTTTTGATTTGGTCAATGACCACCTGGTCAGTCATAAAATGTTAACTTTATGGCTGGAACTATATGGAAGAGCCTGTGATCTGCCATGTCTAATCTGTGATTGGGGACATAGGAAGAGATGTGGTCTCATGTGACTGTCCAAACCTGTGTAGCTCTCCGGACTGCATCTGTGAAACTCTTTTTATCCTGATAGCTGTCACTTCCTGATATTTCTCAGAGTGCCAGAACCTCGTAGAAAAAGCCAATAGGAGTAAATTAGCCCTCTAAATTTTAGGGATAAGAATGGGTTAGCTAACAGGAGTTAGAACTCCTCTGGTTCATTTTGATGTGCAGTGTGGACTTTTATTGTCCTGGTAAAAAAATCTCTTATAATGTAATTTTTTTCAGATAAACTTGAAGCAAGAACTTTATCCAACCCGAGTGGATTTTCCCCTGCATTGACTGAACTGCTTAGATTTTAAAGGAAAAAAAACCCCCTTTGTTTCTAAAAAATAGAAATGTAAAGGCTTTGAGGAAGAATGCAGGTTATATTTGAGTGTGAATGAGCCATTTTGTTTCAGATCTGTGTGGAAACAATTGTGTCCTGCTACTGTTGGGGGGGGGGGAGAGGATGCCTTGCCATTTAAAATGTGGTAGTCTGTTTCTCTGTAGGAGCTTAGTTAATGCACCACTAGCATTGAACTTGAACATTCCAAGTGCACTCACGCTGTAACTCCTTGGCAGCCTGGAGCGTTCTTCATCGTTCTTCTGGAAACCTTTATCCAGATGAAGCTGACTGTTCCGTATGGGGGGAACTGAACTGCATGACTTCTGTAGAAGAGCTTTGGTTGTGAACGTAATGTGTTTAATTGACTTTGAAGGCTATTTGTGTACACATGAAACTTAAGAAAATACTCTTAACCTAGCCCGGCTTGACCTCTTGTGCTCCTTAGTTTCTTGGCCCCTTTGTCTATACTACACACACCCTTGAGCACATTACTTGCATTTTGAAAAGGTGGCAAGCTTTCTTTTCTTTTTCCTGTCTGTTTTAAATCAGCTCATGTTTGTACTGTTCTTACGAAGAATGCACCTTGACAGTTTGTTTTTCTCCCATGAGTTGTGACACTTTTATGCAGCCAGAGATCAGAATCTTCTTTTTTCGTGGTGTCTAGCTATTGTATTTGGGTTGTTCTCCTCCATGGAAGGAGAGACAGACAAACAGATTTTCTAGCTTAATTTTGAGGTTTGTTCCTTTTACATTTAAGCAGACCTCATGTGGAAGGTAGTCTCTAATCCTCTGCTGGAATTATTGTTGCTTTCCATTAAAAAAAAAAAATTAAAGTGAATACATACTAATAACATCTCTGCATAACTATAAACAGCTTTAAGGCAGTGTGCTGTGTGTCTTTATCTCCCTTTTGTTAGAGATAATCCTGATTAACATCAGGATGGATCTTCTAACTTGGTGTTTTCCTCCAGAGTTTGCATCATCTGAGATTTAGGGAAATCCTCCAACATTACTATCTCTTCACTTGATATTGTCAGTGAGTGGTAACTTTGACTTACATGCAGGTGACATACTAACAGCCTGATCGTAGACTGTTAGGCATGTCTGTGCCTGCTAATATCAGTGGGCATAGGGCAAGGGAAACAGGTGCCCCTAGTAGTTGGTTCTAAATTTCCCATCAACTACTTTCAACCACTTCTCTCTGCCCCTAGAATTTTTCCTGCCTTCATCAATACTGCTCAGCCCATGGAAGCCTTTCCCCAGTGACTAGGATAGCTAAATAAAACCCACATAATTAGGGGCAGCATTCCTCTGAATACTGGATACTGCAGATAAACAAGTGATTTCTGTTGCCTTCACTGCTGTGCTTGCAAGCCCTTCCGAGAGGCATTTTGCCAGCCATCCTTGAAACGCTTGCCCTGATAGCAATGAGTAAGTTGGTTTCAAAGGAGAACAAAGTGCAGGTGAAATCTGAGTCCTAAACAGTGAGCTCCACCATACTTTATTCTTCCAAAATTTAGCAACTCTTTAAAGTAGTATTTCATAGAATCACAGAATCATAGAGTTGGAAGGGAGCTCCAGGGTCATTTAGTCCAACCCCTGCACAATGCAGGAAATTCACAAATACCTCCCCCTCCACACCCCCAGTGACCACTGTTCTACACCTAGAAGATGACAAAAAACCTACAGGATCTCCAACCAAACTAGCCTGGAGAAAAATTGCTTCCTGACTCCAAAGTGGTGATCAGCATTTCCCTGGGCATGTAAGAAAAGGGCCACAAGAACTAAGCACTAATGCAACCCTTCTTGCCCTCCCTCTCATGATCTGCCTAAATTCACAGAATCCACATTGCTGTCAGACAGCCATCTAGCCTTTGTTTGAAAACCTCCAAAGAAGGAGAGCCCACCACCTCCTGAGGATGCCCGTTCCACTGAGGAACCACTCTGTCAGAAAGTTCTTCCTAATGTTTTGCCAACAAATCTTCTGATTTAATTTCAACCCATTGGTTCTGGTCTGACATTCTGCGGCAACAGAAAACAATTCTGTACCATCCTCTATATGACAGCTCTTCAAGTACCTGAAGATGGTGATCATATCACCTCTCAGTCGTCTCCTCTCCAGGCTAAACATACCTAGCTCCTTCAACCTTTCTTCATAGGACTCCAGACCCCTCACCATCTTCGTTGCCCTCCCCTGGACACGTTCCATCTTGTCTATATCATTCTTAAATTGTGGTGCCCAAAACTGAACACAATACTCTAGGTGAGGTCTAACCAGAGGAGAATAAAGTGATGCTATCACCTTGCGTGATCTGAACACTGTACTTCTGTTGATATAGCCCAAAATGGCATTTGCCTTTTTATCTGCTGCATCACACTACTGACTCATGTTCAGTGTATGGTCTGCTAAGACCCCTAGATCCTTTTCACACATACTACCTCCAAGACAAGCCTCCCCCATCCTATAATTATTCTCCCCTGTCCTATAATTATGCATGTGATTTTTTGTACCTAAATGCCATCCACGGACACTTTGCAAAAAGCTTGCAATGTTTTATTTTTCCACGTAAAATTTTCCATTTCAGACAACTAATAATAATTAATGGATGGCATTGGCAATCTAATATTAGGCAAGTGTGGCAGTTACAAAGTTTTAGTGTTTCCATTAGTTATTGGTAGCAAATGTGTGAGGAAAGTTCATGGATGTTTTATTGATTTAGTAGTAATCTGGTGTGAAACTAACAATCCAAGTGATGCTTTTGAGCAAGCAAGTGAAGCTGAGGTGCTTTGGTAAACTCCAAGGGAGAGAATTAGTTTCTGCTGAAATAGACGAGTGGACAGCCATCTTCAAGGTATATCATGGCCAGTTCTTTCTTTCCTTAAAATTAGCATGTCAGCACTTTTCAGTGTTTTTGACTTGAACTACAGTCCTATGTTGACTTTAATGTTTTATAAGTATTAGTCCAATAAAGACTATTTCCATGTAAAGCTTCAAATATAATTAATGATGTGCGGCCTATTTTTTCCTAATTAGTTCAAGTATTTGTTGCATTTGGGACAGAAAACTGACGTGGAGTACTTTTAAAATGTTTACTAAATAAGTTGAAATAAGTATGATACACAGGCTTCCCAAGTACTTACCGTGATTCGGCGGGGGACACAGATGTCTTCGCAGGATCATTCCCGCGGGGACAACAGACGCGCCGCACCATGCCGTCGCCAGGAAGTGACGCTGGGCGACGCTCTGGCAATGGGGCTAGAAACTCGATGGTACCATCGAGTTTTCAGCCCCATTGCCAGAGCGTCGCCCAGGGTCACTTCCTGGCGACAGCATGGTGCGTTACAGGGAGGAATGTTCCGGCCGGGGAGCATGTGTCCCCCGCCAGAAGTACTTACAAGTTCCCAAGTAATTTGTAAGTACTTGGGAACCCTAATGATACAGGAGATGGTGCTTTATTACAATACTAGTTTAATCCCCCCTCCCAGAAAATCCCACATCATTGATTCTATGCTCTGATTTGATCTTTCCCAAAGACAATAATAATAATAAAAATCTGGTGGCTTTACTTCATACAACTATTAGCTGCCACAGGTCCTGTTGCATAAAGGAAGCAGGGGTCTTAAACTGACAGTTTTATT